GGCAGAACGGGATACCTGCGAGCTGGCACTGGCCGCCCCACTGATGCCAACCGGCGGAATTCAGAGGAAGAGGCAGGCCCAGAAGCTGCAGAGAGCAGGAACATCCACTTCATGCATTTAAAGCACGGGACTTCCGCCAAAAATCCTGGGAACTGTAGTTTGTGGGTGCTGGGAACTGTAGCTCTGTGCGAGGTCAGGGGCCGTGCCCAGGTTGCTTTGGAGGAAATCTATTTGCTAATCTACGTCAAAGTATGTCCACTTTTTTAAAAAAGTCATGGGGGTGGCCCTACAGTACAGCAGTGGTAGCAGTGGTGCTCCAGGGCTTCTGCTGAACTACACCTCCCATCATCCCTTACCATTGACCATTCTGGCTGAAGCTGATGGGAGTGGAAGTCCTACAACATCTGGAGGGCACCGTGTTGGCTACTCAACATAATTATGTATGTGTAGAGAAAGTGGATAGGGAAGTTTTTCTCCTTCTCTCATAATACTGCAACCTGGGACTATCCAATGAAGCTGTATGATGAGAGGTTCAGGGCAGGCAAGCCGAGGTACCAGCTGGAGAGTTGAGAAATGCTGTTAAACTCATGTGCTCTAAAAAGTTCATTTAGTAATTCTGACATCTTGACAATGGAGAAGAGGCTGTGTTGTTAGAGGGTGTATCCCTTTTAGCGCATGCATATGAGCACCACAGACAGTGGAAGAAAAACTCAATGCACAGAATAGTAAGGTTTTGATCAAGTTTATATCCCACTCTTTAAAAAGATTTTTCCTAGAAAGAGGATTTCTCCCATGTTTCATTAAAAAAAAAAAGGTTGTGTTTTCCATCTGCTGGGCCAATTCGGAAGTTTTTTGTTGATTGAGAGAGGGTGAATTTGAGATAAGGTGAACTTCATCAAAGAGTTTCACTTCAAAGGAGCCTTAACTACAAACAGGATTGATGTGCCATCAATAAATGAGAACGGAGGTTATCAGCAACATGTGGAAGAGACAAGGCCAAATTTAACAGAGGTTGTTTTCATGTCATCCTCTCTCTCTCTCTCTCTCTCTCTCTCTCTCTCGATACACCTGCCCTGTCCCACCCAATGTATACACTTATACCCATTGTTCAGGAACCTGTGGCCTTCCTGATGTGAGAATATAGCTCCCACCAGCCCTGACCATTGGCTGTGCTAGCTGTGACTGATGGGAGTCCAACATCTGGACTCAGGTCCCTATCACTTGCAGGCAACGACCTACATGTGCCCAATCAGTGGCTGCCTCACTGCACTTGCGAGCAGCAGGTTAGCTTAGGGGGTGCAGGGCAGGCTGTGTGGCGCAAATGTCACCTCCAATATATTGCCACTGCTCCCATTCCCCACATCTGCCTAAGGTGGCTGCATCACTATGCTACTTAGTAAGGCTGATCCCAGAGATACAGTCCACTGATTTATGGGCCTGGACAAAATAATCTCACAAGCTGCAGCAAACACAGCCCAGAGGTTGTCGGTTGTCCATTCCCACTCTGCTGGATTAATGCACTTTCTCAAACATCTGTCCAATATTAAACACAGACTCCAGGGCGAAAGGGAAAACTTGTCTGCGGCAGCTGATAGATGCTGCTTTATTAATGACGAAAATCCTTTTTGCATTATTCTCTGGCCCAAGTGAACAGGATCTCCTGGTGAGAGGCATTTTTATGCAACCACCCTTTGAACTGTTTGGTGGTATGAGCTTTAATTTGTGGGATGTGCAGTGGAAGCACTGGATGTGGTGGAAAGGGGGACGCCTCCAACTTTCCCTGGAAGAGATTGGGCGGTTCAGTGGGTTGGTTTTGTTCGCTGCTAATGAAATACACTCAGGAATGAAAACGACATTCCTCATGCCACCCCTCCTCCTGTTCTGCCGGAACAGAGGCATAAAAGGTTTCATGTTATTCTAATTATGTATGGTTTTTAGTGCCTACATTGCGACAGTAATTAATTACTAGTTTAATTGATACCAGATGATATTCCTGCCTCAATTAAGAAATGCATTCATTTTCCATGTTGTTGTTTCTCCTATAGAGTCTAGATTTTATTTCCATTCGGATCAAGAAGGAAACTGCTATTCAGCCTGATGGCAAATACCTTCAGAAGTGTGGCAGGTACTTTATTTTGACAATGAAGCAGCTTCTTTTTTCATTACAGTGGTACCTCGGGTTAAGTACTTAATTCGTTCCGGAGGTCTGTACTTAACCTGAAACTGTTTTTAACCTGAAGCACCACTTTAGCTAATGGGGCCTCCTGCTGCCACTGCACCGCCAGAGCACGATTTCTGTTCTCATCCTGAAGCAAAGTTCTTAACCTGAAGCACTATTTCTGGGTTAGCGGAGTCTGTAACCTGAAGCGTATGTAACCCGAGGTACCACTGTATTGTTTTTGTGCTGTTTTTATTTGTAACACCAGTGAGTACACCTGCAGGGTCCCAGCCTTCCCGTCACTGAATAGCCAATAGAAGGCTTTGAAACCTAATTGCTACAGGAAGGTGATTTTCAGGGGGCAGGTTGCAGCTGGGGAGAGAATGGTTAACCCTTGCCTCTCCCTCCCCATTCCACCCAAAATGCCCACATGCTGTAATTCAAAAAATGAGGATTCACAGCAGAGGGTGGGCAGCTGGGAAGTGAAGGGTTAATACTTACCTCATCAGATGCAACTCTCTTCCTTGAAATCACCTGCCGCCTTCTACAATTAGGCTTGGGGGGAAAGCCTGTGGATTCCAATAGAAGACACCCCCCCCCAATCTAGTTGCTGGTGGTGTGCAAACAGTGTTTGTGTGCTTGTAGTTGCTATGAATGCATTTGTAGTTGTTGATGTGTGCGGTTGCAATGTGGTGTGTGTGGTGCCCACAACAGTTTTCAAACACGCTACGAGCCCAAGAAAGTTGGCGGCCACTGCAATATTTATTGTATTTAACATTAGCGTTAAAAATGCTGATTCCCTAATAGAGCAAGGAATCTTGAATTATGACCTGGGCATGCTGTGGGATCCTCCCAGACATCGCCTCTCTACTGCATAGGAAGATGTGCTGCTCAGAGTTCAAGCAATTTAAGAGATTTTCTCCTGGGGCTGGTTTAGGTGATCTGGCTGCAATGCCCTTTTCAGTTACAAAAAGGTCGGTTTTGACCATGCAATCAAATTAGGAAGAGGTGTGTTAGAAACAGGTTGTATGGTAAATGTTACAGTGCAATAGAAAGGCAGAGAAAAATGGGGATATTTTTAGGGCCTTCTCATACAGTGGTACCTCGGGTTACATACGCTTCAGGTTATATATGCTTCAGGTTACAGACTCCGCTAACCCAGAAATAGTGCTTCAGGTTAAGAACTTTGCTTCAGGATAAGAACAGAAATCGTGTTCCGGTGGCGCAGCGGCAGCATGAGGCCCCATTAGCTAAAGTGGTGCTTCAGGTTAAGAACAGTTTCAGGTTAAGAGCGGACCTCCGGAACGAATTAAGTACTTAACCCGAGGTATCACTGTACAACCATGCAGAAGGAATACACTTGTTTCTTAGTAAGCATGGTGGTTAAAGCACCATACTATACACCGGTGCTTGATGCTGAAGAGATAACAAGCAACCACCCTAAATATTAGCCAGGCAGTCTCACTAGACACTGCATCCACATCATATACCAGAGGTAAAAAGGACTGTATTTTTTTTTTTTTTTTGCTGCCAGGCCAATGTGAGAAATATTTTGGTGACCCCTTATGTTGATAACAGATAACTATATGAAGAACGTACTCTGTCATGGTAAAAACTAGCGCTGGGCTAAAGTATTTGTCCTAAGCAACTCTAATAAGCTTTGTGGGTGATGCAACCAGGCAAAAATGACAATTGCACTAATATTTTTAAGGGGAGGGATTTCCATTTTTTTTTAACAAACAACTTAAGGCTGGTTCTTTCTTTCAATATAAATGCCTTGCTGCCCCTGTCGGAAACAGGTCTTTGGTCTGTTCCAGCAGCAGTTGTCTTATATTGTTATGAACTGTAACAACTTTACACACGGATAGGTTGTTTGGTCTGGCACCATAGTGGCTTCCAACCTAATTCTAATGGTCACGAAATATAAGTCACCTACTAGTAAGCAGCATGATTACAAAAGTAAATAGTCAACTCAGTAGAACGTCAATCCATGTATAGTCTTAATAAAATAAAATTATTTGTAGCATGAAGTACTACAGCTCAAGAACTCCTCCCTCAAAGTGCTTTTCAAATAGGTATTTCAATCAATGTGGCTCTTCCGAGGTACTATTTTTAAAAATAGCTTGTGGCAAGTTTCCATTTTTTAAAAAATCCAGCATGGTGGCTAACAATAGTTAAGGGTATCATCCTACACATGCTTACTAGCACAGCTTACCTCTGAATAAATTCTGAAAATACACAATAAAGAACTATTTGGTTAACAAAAGAATTACATCCAGAAATTTAAGGCACGCACCCCATGCCAATATAATCTCCGCGCGTCGTAACAGCAGAGACAGCAAAATAAATGAATTGGCTGGAACCATTCCTAAATGCCCCCTGAAATAAGCAGGTTTTTCATTACTTGCCAGAAGACAAGCAGTGGCAGAGTCAAGTGGGCCTCCCATGGGAAGGCATTCCATAGCTATGGCTGCAATCCCAAAGGATCTGTCTTGCATCCTCACCACAGACGACAGGAAGACATGCAGCAGAGCCTCAGGTGTTGATAAGAATACTGCTAGGACATCCCATCCCCAGAATATCTGAGGCCTTAATGGTAAAAGCCATCAAAACTCAACCTGGAAACAAATTGGTAGCCAAACAAAATAGGTGTTAATACTGAAACGGAAGTTGAATCTCTGGAAGCTGCGTTTTAAATCAACTGACGTTTCTGAGAATCCTTCAGAGGCACACCCGTGAAGGTGATGTTACAGTAGACTGGGGGGTTCATAAAACCATAGAATTGTAGAATTGGAAGGGTCATCTCATCGAACCCCCTGCAATGCAGGAATCCTGTCCAGGCCGTCTCTGGGTGGTTTCAAACCACCAACCTTCTGGTTAACAGCCAGACACACTGACCGATTATGCCACAAGGGGTTGTAACCAATGTAGTGCTACATTAAAATTACTTAGTGGTATACTTGCTGTGCTGGTGGAAAGCAAGGGAAAACACAAGTACATTACCAAAGATTGTTGTGCAACCGATTGCACAAGAAGAACCAGCTGGGGTACAATAAGAATTAGCTGTCTGAGGAATCTTCCACTAGCACAACAGTTGCGTTGGATTCCTTTGTTGCACAACCTTTTAATTCTGCCATCCGTTAGTGCTTAAAGATGCAACCCACTTTTTGATGACCAGTCTGTTGTTAATTTCAAGGTTGCTTCACTGGTAATGTCTTCCTTTTTAATATGAAACTACAGTAACATGAAATTAATGCACACCAAATTGTTAAATGACACTAGCATGGACCTTAGACCTTAAGATACAGATCACTAATATGCATCATGTAAAGTGGTGGTCTTCAGTTTGATGCAATAGGCAAGAAAAAGCAAAACACCTGCCTTCGTATTTGTTTCTAGGATCTTTAAAGAATGAATTATACTTTTTTGAGAGAAAACAGTATAAAAACAACAGTATTTCTTTCTCTTCGCCACAAAGGAATCATCCCTCTCCCTCCCTCACAGTAGAGTTCAGGTCTAGATTGGAAACAAAACTGACGTGTCAAGTTAAATTGAAACCCTTGTGGGATAAAGTCATCTATGAAATCTGCTTATACTTGCCAATCCTAATCAGGTACTGGATGGGAAAAACAATAAAGTAAACAAGTACTTAACATCTCCTGGGATTTGAAAACAAAAGATTTCACTTCCCTTGTTTTTTTCTCTCTAAAAAAATGCCTTTTTGCTCCATTTTATATGTTGCATGCTGCATATTTAAAAGCCCAGGGACAGTGAAGTGTGGGCAAAATGTCCTTTGTTGATAAGGCAATTGTCTGGAAGAGTGGAATTCATGGCAGTGGAGACACTGCAATAACATCGCCATGGCTGGAGCAGAATTTTGAGTTGCAGTTTTCATTATATTATTGTGAGCAATTGCTAGCACCATACAAATTGGAAGTGTGTTTGGAAAACTGAATGTGTTTAATGCTTTTTAATAAAAACTAGCCAGCTAAATAAAGCTTAGTCCAAAGGGGGGATGAGGAATCAATGGGTCTACTCTTGCCCAGGCTCTGGGTTTCTGTGCTGTGGGGGAAACAATCCTTGCCTGCCTCTTTGCTCCCCCTGCCCTTCACATTTCCCTTCACCCAGTGAATGGCCACCTCCTCCGTACACAGAGCCTTTCTCTGAAGAAAGTAAGGGACAAATGACACATTACATTAATCATGCTATAAGAAAACAAAGTGTGCTTAACACTGCCGCTTTGATTTCGTATGGAAACTAGCCAGATGGGCTCCCATCACAGCTTGGGTGTGTGACGCTGGATCAAGACCAAACATGGCTGATTTTCTTTCAAGGTAAAGAGTGGCAGCATAAAGCACACTTGGGGGAAGGGGGCATCACTAGTGGAATGTGTAGTTTGGGCCTAATGTGTACGTAGGCTCCATATTCACCTTTAAAGCACATTTTAATTCTCCTTCAAAGGATTCTGGGCACTGTAGTTTGCTAAGCATTGCTGGGAATTGTAACTCTGTGAGGGGTGAATTACAGTGCCCAGTGTGGGTGTTAAAAATGGAGCGGAAAACCCAACTCTGCTAGCATCAATGCCCTACAGAGGACTCTGAAGTTCTTTTCGCCCTTTGCTCTGAGAACATTTTAGCAGAGTCCAGCTGCACCTGTATTCCATTAACTTTAAAAGCATTTCACTGTTTACAGTCACCAGGAAATGTCAATGTCTGTGTTATATTAACAAGTCAGAAATAACAAATGTAGTCTCGGGTTTTAAGGGTTAGCTGAGAACACTTCACTCTGACTCACTTGCATGCTTAACTTCCGAACGCAACTGACGCTGACTGAGTGGCCCTATATTCTTTATATCACAAAGGGCAAGTTCTGGAGGTGTGTAAAGAACAGAGTCCCTGGAATACAAATCACATATGCACCAGCAGTACGTGAGTGGCACCAGTTCAGGTTCTGGTGGATGAAGCCAAGGATATTTTGGGGTGGGGAACACAAAGTTTAGAAGCAATGGGGAGACAGGCTAGTACGAATCTGCATTTTGCTTCATGTGGACAAGTCCCTAGTCATGCATGGTCTGAAACATGGGGTTGTGGGCTTTCATAAGTGGAGACCCTGGTGACAAGTCCAAGACCGTTTGGTCCTTCAACTCTGTATCATATATAATATCCTTCCTTGAATTTGTCTGCATGCCTGTGTCTAAAATCTCAATGGATATTACTTCTAGTATTCCCGCATATATAAAGAAGAACATAGGAGAAGCACCTAACTATTGTCTTCTACACCATCCTTCTCCAAGCTAGTATATAGAATGTTCTGTGTCTATTCGGTTTGGAGGTGTCTTGCCTTTAGGGCATGAAATAAACTAGTCAAGAGACGCTTCCTCACCTCCAGCTGTAGAATACACAGCTGGCACACATTGCAATATTGGAAAATTGACATGTAAAATATATCTCTTCAGCAGCAACAACTTACTGCATTTGTGGCACTACTATAATTGAGGACAGTGTTGGATGATTCTGTAAAGGAAAATATACAGTGGGGGCAGGGGGAGTTAGCAGGTTTCTGGATATAAGCCCTAGAGTTGATACCTGCAAACCAAATGAAAAAGTCACATTGACTACAGCGTATGTTCCATTTGAAAATCTCTCTTCCACTTTCCATATTGCATTAACAAATATGTGACGTATAGGAAATCCAGAGGTGTTCTTGCAGTCTATTCATACCCTGCCTCTTGAAACAACACCTAAGTGTGAGTGGTTGCCCTTGTCTTTGCCTTCTCACAGTTAACTGTTTCCTTCACTACTGAAATTTCGATGGTAAGTCCTTGGGGCAGGGCCCTGCCTCTTTCTGCTTAAATTCCCTGTAAATTATATGGATTGCTAGAAAATAATCTGCAAAAGTACCTCCAAATTTGCAATCCCTTGTCTGAAAAAAAGGAACTTATCTTTCACTGCTACTTTGAGACACGGGTCTCTTTTCTGATGTTGTCCCTTTGGTGTTTTCAAAGGGCGATGGCGACGTGGTCTTGTTCCTGGAAGAGATTGGGTGACATATATGCTTTGATGCTGTGGCACAGCCCAGAGATCTGAAATGGAAATCCTGCAAAAGCAAGCTCTAGAGTTCTGTTCTCATTTTGCACCTGCACAGATCCGAACTGTCTAAGGAGCACATTGCTGTGCCTCGTCTCAGACTGCTTGGACGAAACCCAACCACCATGTAATTCCATTGAATTTAAGTGGAGTTATGGCAGGCAAAAGCAAAACAACAACAACAACAAAACTGGCCTTGCGGGTTTGTAAATGAACTACAGTTGAGGGGGGGAGTTAGAGGGTGTCGGTGATAAGCAAGAGCAGTGGCGAAAGGAGCATATCTCCTAGTTAGCTTTGGACAGCTGACACTAACTCCATTGTGAGATAAGTCTTACCGACTGTGGGAAAAGCAGCGGGGAAAGACTCACACCAGCATCCAACTAGTATTTAATGGAAAAAAACAGATCTGGAAATCTTGACAGTATCTGCTCCCCTCTCTCCCAATCCCCCCCTCCATCCCTTCCAAAGAAGCAATGAAAGTAACTTGTAAAGTATCATTTGCTTCAGTTCCTAGTCCAAACATGCATTTCCTCAACTGGCTTTTTTTTGGGGGTGGGGGGAGGGTATTACTTTCAGAAGAGAGAAGGTGGGTGGTTTGGGGGGGGCGGGCGGCTCAAGTGGATGTTTATTTGCTGCCAGAGAACAGGAGCTGTTTCTCGGCATCATCAAAAAAAAAAGATGAATCATTGTTTAATTAAAAAAAGATATATCAAGTAACCTCAAGATAAGTTTTGGGAATCTTGGTTATAAAAGGGAACACCCATGCAGTGCAAATCCCAGTAGAAGAATAGATTGACTTTCTTATATCCTCCAACTCAATGAGCATTTTAGTGTTGGCTCTGGGGGTGGGTGGAGCAAGAAAGGGGGGGGGGGGAACCACCCACTCAAGAGCAGCAGATGGAAAGGAAAACATTTCGCCGTCTTCTCTGCAGTGTAAGGATAAAATGTGCTGGATATATAAATGAAAACTAATCCCTTTCAAGTAAATACCTGAAGGTTGAACACATTTCTTATGCCACTGGAGGTGTATATCAGAAGGGAAGACAAAACTGAGAAAACCTCTGCTAAGGATGGGGAACCTGTGGCACTTTCTGCAGTTCTTGGACTCCCAGAAGCCTCAGCCATCGTGGGCGATCATGATGGGAGTTGAAGACCAACAACATCTGCAGGACCACAGATTCCTCCACCTGTGACTCAAACCTTGCTCTTGGGTTGCCGCTTTACTATTATCCAACCATCTCCAACTGCATTTGCATACATAAAAAACCAAATCTCTGAATAGAAGCATAGTTGGAATACAAGAATTAGCAGAGTAAGAGTATTAGTAAGACTCACTGAAAGGCCATTACACTGAAACAGGAAGTTTCTCACCTCAAATGTTCCCAAGCTTCAGGTGCGCCATTGGTGTGGCAACACTGCTGACCTCTCAGGGCATCAGAAGCCTCTGGGCATAGAACCAGGCAGAGGGCCTTCTTGGTAGTGGGGCCCTCCCCGTGGAACGACCACCCATCAGATGTCAAGGAAATAAACAACTATCTGACTTTTAGAAGACACCTGAAGGCAACCCTGTACTGCGAAATTTTTCATGTCTAATGTTTTGCATAGATGGGCGGGGAATAATAATAATAATAATAACAACAACAATAACAATAATGTAGTACAGTGCAAGGGCATCACAGACACACTGTGTCAAGTCTCCCATGTGTTTCTCAAACAGGCCCAAATAGCTTAGGCAGTAGTGGACCCTTGATCCACAGCCAGCCACTCAAGCTCTGCAATTTGTGAAGTTAAGATGTAATGGAAATGAAAGCAAATATTCAAGAGTTACTGA